AGACAATAATTTGATTCGTGTCAATTTATATTAATTTGAATTCATGAATATATTTTTGGAATAAAACTTTTAGGGACACCGATGAAGAAGGAAGTTATCCAGTTGAACCCGGAGATGCCTCCCTTGGACACAAGCATCCTCCCTTGGTCTCTCTTTCATGATGCATATACAGAAAAGATAGTTTTCAACTACTGCATACGCATTAACCAAGCAACTTCTGATGCAGAGATGATAATTTGCAATAGCTTTGAGATGCTTGAAAAACCTATTTTCAAGGAAATGCCATACATTCTACCTATAGGGCCACTTCATAATAGTTTTGAATCAAGAGGAGATCTTAATTTATGTCACTTCTGGTCTGAGGATAACCAATGCATTGCTTGGCTCAACAAATATCCTGCAAATTCTGTCATATATGTGGCTTTTGGTAGCATCACAATCTTCAATAACATGCAATTCCAAGAGCTAGCACTTGGCTTAGAGCTCATCGGTATGCCATTCTTATGGGTGGTAAGGCCAGACATGACCAATAATTCTATTAATTGCACCTATCCCTCAGGATTCAAAGAAAGAGTTGCAGATCGAGGGAGAATGGTTGGCTGGTCTCCACAACAAAAGGTTTTGAAGCATCCTGCAATTGCTTGTTTCATATCACATTGTGGTTGGAACTCAACCATAGAAGCACTGAGAAATGGAGTACCTTTTCTTTGTTGGCCTTACTTTGGGGACCAATTGCTTAACCAAAGATATATAACAAATGTTTGGAAAGTAGGATTGAGTTTTGTTCCTGATGAGAATGGGCTAATTTCTAAAGAGGAGGTTGGATCAAAAGTGCAGGATTTGCTCAAAGATAGAGATATTTTGGCACGAACTCAAGCTTTGAAGAATTTTTCGGACATAAGTGTGATGGAAGGAGGGTCGTCCTTTAAGAATCTCAATAAGTTTGTCGATTTTATAAGAGAAAATTAAGCCAAGGAGCTTGAAGACCAGTGTAAAATGAAAAACTTGAAAGCTTGGATAGGGATAGAAATGGAGAGAAATTTTGAGTTATGTGTTGGTGTGAGTTACTTCTGTATTTAATAATGATATATTATAAAAAATTTATCCTTAGTTATTTAGTGGATAATTTCATAATATATCACATGTCACATCATTTAGATATTTTTAGACTAATTTTTGACAAAATATCATTATTCTCTTATAGCCAGGGGTGTCAAAATTGGTCAACAGGCCGGGTTAAGGTCCAACCCGGCCTGACAGCATGGGTCTAAATGGGTCAACCCAAACAAAACCGTGCAAGTTATCGGGTTGACCCGACCCGACCCGCAAAAGATTTGATTATCTTCATGTGAGAGGAAAACAGGGAGAGCGTCGAGTAGCTTGGAGAGATTGAAGAGATGAAAGAGAGCTCCTGTCGCCTACCGGATTACGTGTGTACGCCTAATGCAAGAGAGATCGGAGGGAGCTCATGAGTGCGACTTCGAGAGATCTGAGAGAGCGCCTACCACCTGTCACGACCAGACGATCCAATTTTCGTCCCGACGAATCATACAACCAAAACTGATTTTCTGCACAACCTGTACCGATCGTCCCGGACGATCCAACTTCGTCCCGGACGAACCTGGAGCAAAAACTGATATTACACCACCTGCGTATGGGCGATTACTCTTCTTCTCATTTTTGCGTGTGAGTGTGAGAGGGAAACTGGGAGAGGGCCGAGCATCTTTGAGAGATCTTAGAGAGCGTGCGGTTTGGAGAGATCGAAATTCGTCTCATTTTTACATGTGAAGAAGTAGAAATCGAAGCCCAAAGGAGCAGGCTTTCGACTTGGTTGTGAGAAAATCTACTTGTGTGCAACCAGAAGACGAACAGGAGTTCGGCACTTTGGCTTGGTCTTCAGAGCTCATTCAAGCGCCTATGCCTCATGGATCGTCTCTGTTTGCACTGGATCGGACATTCACACTCACAACGGGGGCAAAGCCGCGCGCAAAGACGATGAAGCCTTTTCAATGTTTGGGTCAAATCGGGTCAAAGTCGGGTTAGCGGGTTGACCCAATTCCAACAGATTTTTCAAACGGGACAAACACTGCAACCCGAACCTGACTCATTTGTTAAACGGGTCGACCCAAAACCGAATGTTTAGGGTCGGATTCCTTAGAGAACTTGGCATACAGCTGATGCCTCCTCAAAGTCTCCAACACAATCCTCAAATGTCTGGCATGATCATCCTCAGATGCAGAATATACCAGAATATCGTCAATGAAGACGATCACAAACTGATCCAGATACTCCCTGAATACTCGGTTCATCAGATCCATGAAAATCGCAGGCGCATTGGTTACCCCAAAAGGCATAACCAAAAACTCGTAGTGCCCATACCGAGTACTGAAAGCAGTCTTCACCACATCAGCTTCCTTCACCTTCACCTGATAATATCCGGATCTCAAATCAATCTTCGAAAATACCGAAGATCCGGAAAGCTGATCAAACAAGTCGTCTATCCGAGGCAAAGGATACTTGTTCTTGATCGTGACCTTGTTCAAATCTCTGTAATCAATACACATACGGAGTGTACCGTCCTTCTTTTTCACAAACAGAACAGGTGCTCCCCAGGGCGAAACACTAGGACGTACAAAACCTCTGTCAACCAACTCCTGAAGCTGAACTTTCAACTCAGAAAGTTCTTTCGGTGCCATCCTGTACGGAGCTTTCGATATAGGAGCTGTACCCGGAAAAACATCGATAGAGAACTCCACATCTCTATCCGGAGGTAAACCAACCAACTCCTCAGGAAAAACATCAGCAAATTCCCGTACCACAGGGATCTCAGAAACAGAACCAACCTCCAGGTTCAGATCCCGCACCGAAGCTAAAAATACCGGACATCCTTTCTTCCACATCCTGCTCACCTCCAACACAGAAACCAGACTGGAGAGAACACCTCGTAATCCCTGAAATACAACTCTCTCTCCAGCCACAAGCAAACTCACTTGCTTCTTCAGACAGTCTATCTGAGCCTCATACTGACTCAGCCAATCCATGCCCAGAATCACATCATACGAAGAAATCGGCAATCGAATCAAACTCGATTTCCACTTCTTGCCAGAAATCTCGATCTCACACAAACAAAACTGTCGAGCAATCAATGGATTCCCCGCCGGTAAAATCACAGACAAAGAAATCGGTAAAACCATCGAATCCAAATGTAAAATCTCAAAACAATGCTCGGACAGAAAAGAATGACTCGCTCCAGAGTCAAACAAAACACGACAGGGCTGATCAGAAATGTAAACCGTACCTGTCACAACATCCGGAGCATCACGAGCCTCCTGCTGACTCAGACTGTAAACTCGTGGCTGAACTGGAGCAGGAACTGAAGCAACAGAACTACTCTGCTCCCTCTGAATCGTAGGTGGTCTCCGCGGTGCAGAACTAGAACCACCACCTCTACCAGCAAATCCCTCAGGGCGAGGAGGAACAGTCCTCGGTCTTCCTGCTGCTGAACCAACAGGTCTGACAAAGCCCTCAGATCGCTGCTCAGAACGCTGATCAAATCCCATCTGCGGACATTCTGCAATCCTATGTCCCGGCTGACCACATCTGAAACAAAGACCAGCTATCCTGTAGCACTGGCCATGGTGTCGCCGTCCACAACTCTGGCACACAGGTGCCGTACTGACAGATCCAGAACTAGTCGTACTGGTAGCAGTACCAGACGATCCTCCGCTCTTCCTGGAATCTCCAGATCCAGATCCAGGAACAAATCTCCTCTTCCCAGAGGAACCACTGCCAGATGTCTCTCCTCCAAACCTCTTCCTACTCGCAGTCCACCGCTGCTGAGTAGCCGTCATGTCATTCTCAATCAGACGAGCTCGCTCCACAAGCTCAGAGAAATCAGTAATCCGGAACGGTATCAGAGGCTGCCTCAAAGTGTCTCGTAAGCCTCTCAGAAATCTGTAGCACCTCTCAGCAGACGTGCTAACCAGCTGCGGAGCGTACCTGGCTAATGCAGTAAACTCAGCCTCGTACTGCATCACCGTCTTGCTCCCCTGAACAAGTCTCAGAAAACTCTCCTGCATCTGCTGTCGTGCAGAAGGGGGAACAAACCAGTCCCGAAATACTTCGGTGAACTCCTCCCAAGTAATCAAAGAGTTCAATCTGCCCTGAAATCTGGCTGCTTGCTGGCCATCCCACCAGTGCTCAGCCTCACCGTCCAACAGAAAAACAGCTAACGGAACTTTCCTGTCTGCAGGACACTGCATCCCGTCAAAAGTCTTCTCCAATCTCCTCAGCCACTCCTCGGCTGCTCTGGGCTCAACAGCGCCCTCAAACCTCGGAGGCTTCAACCTCAAAAATAACTGCAGGTGTCGATCAATGTCCTCAGATCTAACAGTCGAAGTTCTGCTCTGAGTCTCGCTCATCATCTGAGCAACAAGTGAAGCAAACTGTGAAAGCGTATCAGCACCGACCACTGGGGCTGTACTCCCCACTGGTGCTGCCTGATCGTCACTCTGACCGTCTGTCATGTCTGGGTCTGGCTGATCCATACAGAAAAATCCAGAAAATCCGGAAAACTATCACAAAACAACACAAAATAACACAATAAAAAGCCAAACGACCCAAAACTACCTCCTAGACAGACTCACTGATCACTTCCTAGAGCTCTGTTTTACAATTCAACCTGTTTCCAAAACCAGTGCTCTGATACCACAAAAAGCTTGTCACGACCCGACCCGACGGGGACGGATCCCGCCCGAGCCGGATCGCGACGAGAGACCTTTCTTAACCAGGATCTGGCTTTGGATTAGGTTACTGAACTGATCTTTCAAATTCTTAACTCAACAGAAGCACACAGAACAACAGAGCTACTAAAAACATCAAATGCAGCGGAACAAAACATCTATCTTTTCATTTCCTCAAAATAATCATCTACAGAACAGTACATGGCTTTCAACAGAAAGAAAGACAGAACAGAAAAGCCATGACTGTACAAAAATCAAAAGTACAAAAGTACCTAATCTGATCAGACTCTGAAACCTAGTCCTGAACTTCCTTGCCCTTCCCAGAACCTGAAAACCACCAGAAAGCAAGGGTGAGCTCAACAGCTCAGCAAAGCAACAAACCACCAATCTAAATTCTCAGAAAACAGAACCAAATTCATCGGACAGAAATCAGATCAGAAATCGGAACAGAATTGGAAATCAAAACTTACGGACAGGTATCAAATCACATCAGAGTCGTACAGATCGTATCAGAACAGAACAAATCAACAGAGTCAGAATCAGAAATCAGAATCGTACGGATCATATCATATCATAATCACAATTTCGTACAGAACAGAACAGATACAGAAAATAGTACAGATACATATAGCTAAATGCCCTGACACTGACGGAATCTCTATGGATTCCGGCCCCTTATGCCTCCCTTCCCAGACACTGACTGAATCTCATAGGATCCAGGCCCCTTATGTCTCCCTTTGTGCTCACGGCACCAAAACAGATGTGCTTATAGCACCAAAACAGAATTCATCGGATCCGGAACAGAACAGACATCAGATTTGATCTCATTGCAGATTTCCCGTTTCACTAACTGAATCTCATAGGATTCAGGCCCCTTATAACTCCCTTTTTATAGCTTATACACATAGCATTTCAATTCAGAAGAAATACGGACAATTCAGAAATTACCCAAAAATCGGGCAGCACAACGGCAGTATACGGAATTTACACAAAAATTCCTGCAAAGAAAATTTACCGAATTCGCACAGAATACAGATATCAACATTTCAGAACATTTATTCTACTGCACAGATAAATTCCAATTTCACAGAAAAATCTGGTCGACTAAAAACACAGTCGAATCAAAAATACCCGGACGAAAATCTTCAGAAAATAACCAAAATGTGCACACTCGGCACGTCAACAATATACAGAAAGTTACGCGGTAAAAACTGAGCCAATCAACAGATACGGACAAAAATCATTAACGAAAACGAAATCCGGACAGAATATACCGCCAAACACGACGGTTCTGAAAATTGAGAAAGGCGGAATGTGCCTTACCTCGAGCACAGCAATTTCCTCAACAGTCACTTCGGATGAAAACGGCTCCGCGTCGTCCGAAAATCGGCTTT